TGTATATGATGATAATTTGATTGTACGGATGTACATGATATTCAAGTATATGCATGATATGAAAGATGATGAGAAAGATTATGATGACTTGATATTATTGATATGATGATCAAGTATATGTACAATGTGAAAGATAACGATGATGTGTATGTGGTTTGTATTGTCACTTGCAAAAGATGTATATTGCATGTCATGATAAGATCTGCATTAATGAGCGAGTATTGCAATAAATGGTATGCAACTAGTATGATTTGGCAAGGTTCGTCTACCGTACGCACATGAGGGGTTGGACATGAAAGGGGGGCTTGCAATTCCAAGGTCTTGGAGTCTTTTTTCATTGAATACATCTCAGTAAGGTTCGTCTATTGTAGTACGGAGTGGGTTGGACATGAAAGGAGGGCTTGTAATTCCAAGGTCTTGGGAATTTGACTCTTTTAAAATATTCTCGAGAACTATATTGAAATATAGATTTTCGAGATTTTAAATATATATTTTTTGTCCAATAATTATGTTATAGTATATGCTAAAATAGATAAAAGAAAGAAAGAAGGTAGAAACTTTCAAGTTTGAAGTTTGAAGAAATTTCTAAAACTCTGTATTTAAGAGAAATGATATTTAGTTACTTCTCTCATCAATAGAAGACATTGAAATTAAGTATTCAAAGGAGAGATAATATCTATATTATATTATAAAACATTTGACAAAAGCTCTTAAAAACTATTTTTTATACATGAAATAATGTTTATTGATGCATATTACTTAAAATTTAAGATTACAAGTAAATTGTTCACAAGTACAACTTATTAAAGCTGCATATTTGAATTCGTGTAACTAATTGTGGATAAAAATAATCGAAGAGAGAATAAACATATCATTTTAAAATATAAAAAAAATCTAAAATATACTTAAGATAGTTATCAAGTTTTAACAAAATAATTAATTATTATCTTTAGAAGAAAATTATATTATTAAACCAAATATAAATTATTTTGTTATTGAACTTAAATTAAATTATCTATACTTACTATATTATAAAACATTTGACAAAAACTCTTAAAAACCACTTTTTATGCGTAAAATATTGTTTATTAATGCATATTACTTAAAATTCAAGATTGCAAGTAAATTCTGCGTAAGTACAACTTATTAAAGCTCCATATTTGAATTCGTGTAACTAACTGCAGATAAACATAATCAAATACATAATAAACATATCATTTTAAATATAAAAAATCTAAAATATAATTAGGATAATCATTGAGTTCTAACAGAATA